ATATATAGATGCTACCATGATTAAGACGTCACTAGGTGACAGAAAATTTTCAGCTCCATTATAATCTTTACTAGAGGCCCCAGCCCAGCCTGCACCTTCTCCAATCTGGGACCCCTTGGGGGGATGTTCGACTGACAGGGATCAGGCCTAAACCGGCAGTTGGACATCCCTCTCACAATTCAAGACTGCTGGCTCCTAACAACTTGCCTGCTTGCCTGCCTGATTGCCCTAACTACTTCTCTCTGCCAGCCTGATTGCCCCTTTAACCGCTCCCATACTGGCCTGATTGACACCTAACTACTCCCCTGCCAGCCCAATAGCCCCCAACTGCCCTCCCTGCATGACTGGTCACCCAACTGCCCACCCTTGCAGGCCTGGACAACTTGTGACAATGTATGGGTGGCCATCTTGTGATGTGAGGGTCAATTTTTAGAATTTTACGAAATATGAAGTATCTGATGTGGCAACAATCATAGAAGAAAATCTCAGTGTAAAGAAAAGGGAGAAAGGGGAAAGGAACAATTAATACTGTATTTGAAATTTACATATTACCTCTTTATTATATAGGATGGCATCCCTATTGTAATATGCAGTTAACCAAAGCCTTCTTATACCTCATGGGGCTATTGCAGTCACTGTCTCAATGTGTGGTCACCTGACAATTTTCTGAGACCTTAACTAGTAGGTGTTGATTCTTAATAGTTCCTGAGATCTACGTGCGCACACACATGCACACACACACACACACACCAATACATATATGCACACTTGTCATTTACTAATCTGTCAGCCATGCAGAGAAAAGACAATGGAGGAATTCATTACCTTTCCCTGCTTTTACTATCCTACCCATTCTGGGAATTCTGCTATGCTCATTCCCACCATGTGGTACCTAATCATTGATCAACTTGAGGTACCCAGAAATATGAAGTATCTGATGTGGCAACATCCAGAGAAGAAAACTTCAGTGTAAAGAAAAGGGAGGAAGGGGAAAGGGACAATTTAATACTGTATTTGAGATGGTACCACGCATTCTGAAATTCCCTCCTTCATTTTTAAAATACGAACTATAGCCCTAAAATGCACCAGTAGCAAAAATTCATTTATTTAAAATATGTACCATCTTCACTCAATAAGGTTTAAAGCAGTTTTCCTGAAGTCAATGTGTTTCCAAAATGATGTTTAGATGAAAATTTAAGTTGGAAAATACATAGCAGGTCCCCTTTGCACCTACACAAACTGGGGAAAGAATACTTCAGTTTGCAACAAACAATTCAGTATTCAGAAATATCAGGTAAACCCTGGTTAAAGAATAACTAGAGAAAAAAGGGAAAATGCAAATCTTCACAACTGAGGCATTCTAATTTCTCACATACTGGGATACACACTTACAAGCTGTGTCACAGAGCCTAAGAAAATCCCTCCACATTTCCAGTTGGAAGTGCCTCTAAAAAAGGGCCTGATAAACTCTAATGTAGTGCAACTTGGTGATTTTCTTCAACTGAAAAAATGTGTTACTAGTTGCAAAAATTCCCAAAGCTAAATAATAATGTGTATCCTCCCAAATTTATTTATATCTTTAATGTTAAAAATCAGGCAAATTTGCAGACAAGCATTATTAATTTCCTCAAAATGATGTGTAAACTCAGTTCTTATTAACCACTCTCCTAAGTTAAATTAAAAACAAACAAACATCCTGTTGCTGTCAAAAGAGCTAAAATAGAAATCAGAAACTTTAAGCCTAATTTTTAGCTCTGCCATTGAGTTTTTAATATTAAGGGGAACAAAGTATTTTGACTAAATACAATGCCAATGTCTCCAATCCAGGTCCTGATTCACTTTAACAATCCACACATCTTTTGAATAAATTTAATGGCCACAAATATATAAGCTCTAGAGACCCGATGCATGAAAATAAATGCAATGGGGGAAGGGGGCCTCAGCCTGGCCTGCCCCTTCTCACAGTCCAGGAGCTTTCAGGGGTGTGAGGTGACCCAGAGATTAGGGGAAGGTGACACCCCCATCACACCTCTGCTGCTGCCACTGCCAGCAGTGCAAGCCTCGACCAACCCTGGGCGGCTGGGGGGCTAAGGGGATTGTGGGACTCCGGAGGCAGGTATTCAGAGCAGCTGGACCTGATTGGGGGCAGGCCCAGCTGTGCTGCACACCTGCCACCCTTGTGGGGCTGAGGGTACTGGGCACTGCCATCTTGTGTCTGTGAGGGCCTCCATCTTTGAATGTGTGGCAGTCAATTAGCATATTCCCTCCTTATTGCCTGTGGGTGCCACCATTTTGTGAGGGTGTGATGGTCAATTAGCATATTCCCTCTTTATTAGACAGGATAATATGGATTTTCCTAGCACTTTCCAAAAATAATGGACTCTCATTTCTGTCTCTTTTATTCAATTTTACTAGTATAATACCCCAGGGGGATGGGCACAGCTGACACAAAAAGAGAATATGACATGAACAAGGTCATGTGGCTAATTAGCAACAGGCCTAGAATAAGATCTTCACCTAATAAAAGAGCAAGAAAGTTCAACTAGAGGCATAAACTCTGTCTTTGACACAGAATGTGTATAAATAATGACTCTACAGTGATATAATAAAAAACCATAACTCCCATGTCCCTTTGATTTCATAGCCCTAAAATCAACTTGCAAAAATACATCTCTACCAATTGTGTTCTAAGTGAATAAAATAGATGATGCTACTCTGCCTAGAAAACATCATGTGGCATGCACACCAGTTCCTGGGGCTTTATCACTCCTAAAAGATTATAACTCCTAAAAGGACGATGAGTTTCACAAGGTTAAAATAAATAAATAAATAATACCCAATCAAAACACCAAGCTTCACCAAAGCCAGCATTTCTAAAGATCCTCAACTTCGAATCAGCTGCACAAAGGTCTTATAGCAACCTCAAGACCCGGTTCGTTAACAGAAAACAATACTGCACAAACAGACTGTAAGGAAACTTAAGTTTTCAAAACACCAGCAAGAGCTACTGGACACAAATAAGCAACATTTATACAAACGTATATACTAAATGAAAGGTCAAGTTAATTTTTTACTCAAGGCTTAAAGATTATGACGTGCAACCAAAGAAACGAGCTCTTGAGTGGGAGTCTGGAGACAAGGTTCCAATTCCAGCTGTGGCATTAATGTATTCTGTTTATTTCTCTTGCCCTCAGCTCCTATCTCTCTAAAATGAGAGGGGGAGACTCCACAACGGCTAAAGTTGTACCTTCCTGTCTTCCCATCAAAAGCCCTCTGTGCCAATAGCTACCCATACACTATAAAACATGACTTTTTGTTTGTCCAGACTGTGCACTTTACTCCTAACCCTTTTTATTATTTTGTCCACAACTGTAACCATTGCTCATGGTTACAATAGTTAACACTTTTTATGTGTTTATTCATTGACAGATATCATGCCAAGCACTTTACATATATTAACTTCTTCCTCACCATACCCTCTGAGACAGAAACCATTATTCTTGTGGGTTTTTGTTGTTTTGCTTTTTTTTTTTTCCAAAAATGAGGAAACTGATAAACAGCCATTGCGTAACTTCCTTGGGGTGAAAAGGGTCACAAGTGGAAAAGCCAGGATTGGACCCCAAGCATCCAGACCCTGGAGCACTCCCTGCTTAACTGCCACAGGTATGGAGTCTACCGAGGCTAAGTGTGAAATGCAGCAAAGTTCATTGGCAAAATGCTGTTGGGTGCCCCCCAAAAATCTGAACTAACACTGTGAATTCTCCCAGAAACAAATGGTAGCTCAAGACTTACAAACCCAGCATAAGCACTGGCAAGGCTTTTTCATTACCCGCTCGCTTCTGTTTGACAAGTAAATATCACTGATCTTAAAGGGATTCAATTAAATCTCCCTTCCTTCTTTCACCCATGGGGAGAGGTGGGCGCACACATAACAGACACTGGAAGTTCTCGTGACTTCCACGCCCCCTGCAGAGTAGGCACCACTCCGTTATCACAGGGCTGGAAGTCACACTCCGGGGCACTGCATGTTAAGTCACGTCTGCTAAAACCTCACTGCAGAAAACAGTGAGTGACCGAGTAGAAACACCAGTTCCGCAGCCTGAATTCTCTGAACTCAGCAGTCTGCCTGCTGAGACCATGCAGTAACAACTAAATACATGCTCACCAAATAGGTGGCAGTGTGCACTTGAACTGCGACCTGGTATTCTCAATCAAGACCGTAAAAATACTAGTAATCAAAAAAAGTCCTGTTGAACCACTAGCATGCTGTTTTAACATGTACCCCATTCATAAATCAACTCGAATCTCAAGGGCATTGCACTGAGCTGAGTTCCAGGAGAGCTTCATCATTGCAATTGAGACAAGCCCGGGGAAGTGGAGAAAGTAGGTCTGAGTTCTAGCACCCCGCAGGCCAACGTGACCTCTGAGGGTCCCAGCGCCCCGGAGGGCGGCCTTAGGCTGCCCGGATGGCGGGGCGAGCCCCGGTGTGGCGGTGTGGCGGGGCCAAAAGGAAATTACTTAAGCGCAGAGGACATGGGCCGCTGCACCCGCAGGGCAAAGCCACACTTGAGCTCACCCCTTCGCTTGCCTGTCTTCCAGGTCCTACCTAGGCCACGGACTTGTATCGCCAGCTCTTTACAAACCGGGTGTGGAGAGACAGGGGGTAGAGAGCGGTAGCGAGAAAAGATGGGGAGAGGAGGTGTGTTGTTTCACCTTTAAGGGGGTTAAAAACAACAACACTGTAATCAAAACAACCCGTGGAGAGGCAGCCAGCGAAGACTTCGCCGGGCCTGTCTCGGGGCTTCTGAATCACTTCCTCCTTTTCGGAGCGTCTCCAAGTAGGGAGATTACGAAGTTTTGCAGAGACTATCTTGCCACTCGGGGCAGCTTCCTGCGCGCGGGCGAGCGGAGCGCACCCACCGCGCCGCCCGCGGGCGCCGACCCAGCCCGGAGGCCGGGCCCCGGCACCGCGCGCCGCCCAGCCCGGCCCAGCGGCTTACCCCAGCGTGCTGATGAAGCCGTTCACCGAGCCCTCCGCGTACAGGGACACGATGTCCCCGATGTAGAGGAAGCTGGACATTTTATCAGACATGCTGCTTCATGCTCCAGGGTTAGACGTCCTTCCTCTTCTCGGCGCCCTCGCCGCCCTCTCCAAGGAGCGGAGCGGAGCGGAGCGCACGGCGGCGGCGCCCGGAGCGGCTGCAGAGGGCACGGCCGGGGCGCCCGGGGGTCGGCTCGGCAGCCCTGCCTCGCGCGTGGGGGAGCGACGCCGCAGCCGCGCGGACACCTCGGGGCCGCAGCGGTCGCCTCCCGGGCAGGTTTCCTGTTCCTTTCACAAGTTTTCTCGCCGACACCTTTGCTCCTCCTCCGGCGTCCTCCCGGCCCCCTCCCTTCGGTGCGCCCGGCCGCCGCCGTCCTGGCCACCAGGACGCTGGGGGTTGCAGGCGAGCTTCCCGCTGCCCTCGGGGGAATTTGGGGACCAGGTGGCGCTGCCCATTGGGCGCGGGGAGGAGAGAAGCCCCGGGAGGAGGGAGCGGGGAGCCAATCAGGGAGCAGCGGCCGGGGGCGGAGCTGGGCGGGGGCGGGGCGACGCCGGGGAGGCCGGGCCACCCGGGGAGCCGCGCAGCGGCCGCTGAAGGAGCGGCTGGGGAAGCCCCCAAGCCGGGGAGGCCGCGCGGGGTAGCGCCCAGGGGAGGCTAAAGCTGGGGTGCAGCCGTCCCAGCTGGGGAACGTGGAGGATGGCGGGCGGAGGCGCTTTCCCGCAGCTTGAAGTGGGCTGTGGGGTGAGGGCTGGCGGAGAATGGGAGCCCCGGGCTGAGCCAGCGGTTCGCCCGGAGATGAACGGGAGGGGCCCGAGTGGAATGCGTGGGGGTGCGTGGTTTGCTGATGGAGGGAGAAGAAAGTGTCTTCTGAAATAAAGGGGAAAATCGAAATAAAAAATGAATGCATCATAAAGAAAATAAGAGGGAAAGAAGGAAGAACGAAGGGAAGAAGGAAGAACGCAAGGGTCTCCCTTTGGAGTATGCAGTTTGGGCTTTAATCTCAAGTAGACGGCGTTCGTGCAACTTGACCTGTCAGCAGATGTCGGCGGAGGGAAGCTCACCTGGCCGAGCCAGCAACTTTTATGGCCAACCGTTGGCGGTAAACCTTCTCTGAAGCCTCCAAGACTGCGCCTCCTGCTGTGAACTCCCAGCCCAGGTCTAACCTTCCACCTCCTGGAGCCCTTGGTCATGGTGTCCATGACAGTCTGCTGGCTTTTCAAGCTGCCGGCTCTTGAGAAGGACAAATACCACACCATATGGTTTCACTTGGATGTGGAATCTACAGAACAGAATAAACAAAACGGAACAGGACTCACAGACACAGAGAACGGACTTTTGGCTGCCAGAGAGGCGTGGGATTGGGAGGTGGGTGACATAGGTGAAAGGATTAAGTACAAATTGGTAGTTATAAAACAGTCATGGGGACGGTAAGTACAGCATAGGGAATGTGGTCAATAATATTGTGATAACTAGGCATAGTGCCCTGTAGGTCCTGGAAATATCACGGGAACACTGTAAAGTATATGATTGTCTAACCATTATGCTGTGTGCCTGAAACGAATACAAAATAACACTGAGTGTTAAGTGTCATTGAAAAAAAAAAATGTTTAAAAATTTAAGCTGCCAACTCCTAAAGCTCCAGCATTCACAGTGAAAATGGTGGCTGGACACATTTCCACACCTTCTCTGTTACTTCTGTAGTGCCCATCTTATCACATCCCTTTAGAAGCCTTTGCCCTACCTTTCAGGAAGACCCAGAGAGGGGAAACTCAGAGCAGCGTTAGGACAGTCCCCACCCAAAGAATTATGACCTATGTAATCCCTACAGAGCAAGGTTTGCAGAAGAGCGAAGGAACTCAAGGCATGCCGAGGGGTGTGTGCCAATTTGTGCAACTGGCCAAATTTTTTAATTTCGGTTCAAGAATGTCCTATAGTTCAAAAAAGGTTTTGTTTGAGATGTAATCACATAATGGAAAGATGAAAGAAGCATAAGCTTCATATGCAAATGTTTGTGTCTAGAAAGCCCTGAGGATAGAGAATAGAATGTTAGACCCAGAATCCAGGAAATGCCGGTGCAAAGCCTGTACATGTTGAGATAAGCTAGACCCAGTCATTGCCCTACCATGCAGCTGACAGATCTCTCTTTACTTTTGTGTTCTCCTTGGGAAAAGGTTACTTTGCAGCTTAGATATGCCTGTTATATGATGATGGAATGTCCATTTGTCTGCACACATGATATTACCATTGGGGACCTCCAAGACATTAAAAAACTTGGGTCAGAACAAGATGATGAACTACTAAAAAACTTGGGTCAGAACAAGATGATGAACCTGGAAATGAAGGTTTCTGTTTATCAAAGAGATCGATGAATTAAATTCTATTATTCATCATATTGCACAGTCCTGTGCCATATATCCAATGGATGTTCAACAATTATTGATCAAAGTCATGAATGTTTTTCTTTGTTTTCTCTAGATCCAACCTATCTGTGGACAGCATATTACAAAATAAGTGGGTGATTGTTTGTGCTAATGGCCAATGAACAGGTGTGAACTTCAAGCCAAGTACCCAAATCCAATGGCTTTCTTCCTTCTAACCTCAGTCCTACCACCCACCGCCACTGAGGTGTAGTCTGAGGGTTGGATCAGGTCGCACTGCTGTGTTGGCATGGCAAAAATGGTCAACTAACCACCAGAGACTCCTTAAAATGGCTTTCCCATCCTTAGCTATATGGCAACTCTGTCCTTAGATTTGCTCAGCTCAGAAACCTTGGAATCTTTTTTTTATTCATTTTATTTAATTACAGTTTACATTCAACATTTATATTAATTTCAGGTATACAGAAGAGTGGTGAAACCATCATATACTTTAAAAAGTGTTCCCCTGATATTTCCAATATCTACCTGGTACCATATATAATTATTACAATACTAGAGGCCCAGTGCATGGATTCGTGAGGTCCCTCAGCCTGGCTTGTGCCCTCTCGCAATCTGGGACCCCTCAGGGGATGTTGGACTGCTGGTTTTGGCCTGATTCCCCATAGGCCAGGCAGAGGGACCCCACTGGTGCACAAATTCATGCACCAGGCCTCTAGTATGCATATAAGATTTTTGGGTAATCTCTTCCCAACCTCCCTCTTCTTTCCTTCCCTCTGAGATTCATCAGTCTTTTCCGTGTTTCCATGCCTGTGGTTTTTGCTCCTTCATTGAGCTTCTGCCCCTGATGGTCAGTGTGCATCATAGCTACTGGATGGTCAGCTGGTCAGCCAGTTGCTTAGGCTTTTATATATATAGATTATTGACTGTACTCTTGGAATCATTTTTAACTTCTTTCTTTAATACCCAACATTTAGCCTATCAGCAATTCTGTCAATTCTGCCTTCAAACTATAGACAAAATGTTCCATCTTCCAATAAAAACCATCTTTTTCATCCAATGGAATCACCAGTCTCTTAAGAATCTAGGCACAAAGTCTTGCAGTCACTTTTCATTTCTTTCTCTACCTGTTTTTTCCTTTCTTTTATCTCAAAAATGTCTCTCCTTTATCTTCCCTGCTATCCTTGCTCTGCTCTATCCTATTGCCTGCTCACTGAAGTCCACTTTTCCAGCGATCCAGACTCACCATCCTCATGACAAGCAGAGCCTTCTCCTCACAAAGATGATGTGATCAAAACCACTCAAACTGACAATGACACCCCATGGTCTATAGAAAGAAGTTCAAAGGCTTTAATACACTGGTGTGAATATCAGAGCTTGTGGACATCAGTCCATCTAAATGGATTCTCCTGTGCTGAGAATATGTGACACCTGTTCATGGTCTGGTCCCCTTCTCCTTTTATAACCTCAATTTTCACTCTTCTATTCCTGATTTCCTCATGAAAAGCCAGACTTCACACATATAAGCTGGCACTTTCCATCTTCGTGCCTTTGAATGTGATGTTCCTGTTAAGAAATTCCTCTTTCTCTTTCCTTTCTCCCACAGCATCATGCCCAAGTCCCACTTTCCTGATGAAGCTTCCCATGCCACTCTGCTCCTAGCATTCGTGGGTCCATAGGGCAAGAATAATTGGAAGAAAGTGAGTCACCACCTTCTAGCTGCACGGGCGCGCGCGTGTGCGCGCATACACACACACACACACACACCACACCCCCTCTACACACAGGGTCCTCTCTCATGCATGGGGGCAGGGCTGGCCTCAGAACACAGCAGCAGCTCACTCAGCACTCATTGTCACAAAATCCTCTCTTTTTCCCTAACAGCCCAATTGTTTTATATCGTTGGTTAGAGAGAAGGATTTTTAAGCATTATAGCCCTGATTTTGGAAACGTTTCCTTTCAAAATTTGTATCTTGGTCTTATCTACGGCATTTTATGCCTCCCTTGAAACTCCCAATTTAATATCCTATTAAAATATTCTTCTGACCTGCTGAAACCGGTTTGGCTCAGTGGATAGACCGTCGTCCTGTGACTCAAGGGTCCTGGGTTCGATTCCAGTCAAGGGCATGTACCTTGGTTGCCAGCACATCCCCGGTAGGGGGTGTGCAAGAGGCGGCTGATCGATGTTTCTCTCTCATCAATGTTTCTGACCTTCTATCCCTCTCCCTTCCTCTCAGTAAAAAATCAATAAAATATTTTTTAAAATATATTCTTCTGACCTATTTGATAGGGTCATGGGATCTTTGAGATATTTACATTGCCTGCCATTGAATTGCTCATGGCCCAGTCTTGATAACAGAGAAAATAAAGATTTTAAGGGAAAGTATATGAATTTTTCAAATCTTGCCTACTTCCATTTGCAACAATTCTTTCCCAAGTATAAGTTTATGTTTCCGGCAAAATCTCAGGACAGCATTTATCCAACTCTGAAAAGGATCCCATAACTGAACACCAAAATATTTAAGAATACAACCATCACATAGAACAGGTTTAAGTTACTAACACACTAATTTACTCTCTGCCAGTCTTCACTGAAATAGATAATCGCTGAAGCCTTGTTTTCCTTATATGTAAAATAAGAGCAATAATGGTGCTTACCTCCTAAGATCCTTTTGAGGTTTAAATTAGAAAATACATTCAAGGGCTTGGCATGGCACCTAACTCAGAGTAAGTGCTGAATAAATGTTAGTTATTTTTATGATTATCATTATGTGAGAGAAAATCAATATTGAGGGTCATGAGAAACCAAGCATGAAAGATGCTGTAACCTATTTAAGAAGACACACTCGTGATACAGCCAGCACCAGGCCCATCTCCTGAGACCCATCAATAGCTCTTTCATTTATACATCAGTCTCGTCTGCAAACAGTAATCGGTGTTTGAGAATTATTGAAATTTTGATCTTTATCAAAGATATTTGAAATTTTTAAAAAATGTTTGTAACAGAAGAAAATCTAATCTTTAACAAGGAAATGTCAGACTTATGGGGAAAACAAACTTTGAGACATA